CCACCACCTTCATCATCTGCCCGCGCGTAGAAGCAGATTTTGAGGATCCATCTTCGCCGCTACTCGACGCTAGCATCAACAAAGGGCTCGACTCCAGGCCTTCCTCCTTCAGCCTGGAGATGTTGAGTCGGCCCTCGTAGACTGATCTGAAGCCATAGGCCGCCGTCAAGAGGCGCCCCCGCTCCAGGCAGGGCGGCTGCACAGCCCGGCAGGCCCGCGCGTCGTGCAGGACCGGGTCGGCCCAGCTGGCCCAGGCGAAGCAGTACCACTCCCACTTGAGCACCAGGAGCCACCAGCCCAGGGCCACCACCAGCGCCGCCACGCCCACGACGAACCACCAGCTGCGCCACCACTGGTCGCCCCGTCGGGCCACGGGCGGCCGCCTGTAGCTGAACTGTGGTGGGGTGGCGGTGGTGGTGTTGACCTCTTCTTCTCCCTCCTCTCTTCTCGTTCGTGACCGCACGTCCATCGCTTGTCGTGTGTCTTGTCGTGTGTGTCGTGTCGTGGTGCGGTGCACGCGATCGGGAGATAAAGTTTTTTGCATGAGTGGCGGGAAGTTCCTGCCATGGAAATTTCGGTAGGAAACTTCCGCCAGTGAGATTAGATGTAGGCTCGCGCAACCCCACAGAACGGCAGGGCGCCCAGCTTGTGTGGCCGGGTGGTCGTCGAAAGGCATTATCTGATTGGATTTGTGTCCTCCGAAAGTTGGCGCTGTCCGCTGCCGTTGGAATTTCGGAAGTCGACATTTTTACAAAAGCAGCTGGTTTCAGTCGCAGTTGCACACATTCCAGAGTGTTTCCGAGAAATAAAAACCTGTCATGCTGACGTGGCCTATATCAATTTATTTTTCCCATTTTTGCAAAAAATGAGAAGAGCTGGGTGAGGATGAAGAGGGCAGGGGAAGCTGTTTCTGCTGCAAAGGCAAAGAGAGTGCGCCAACAAGACCTCTCACCTGTAGCATGGCGTGAGTGGCAAAACTACCTGTGATGAGCTCATTACACAAGTAAACAGGGTGAGCTCAAGCTCACAACTGCTCCACTGTTCAATCAAACAGCGGAGAGGAGAGCAGAAAACACGTACCTTGAGTTTCACAACAGCCTCAGCACCCCACTGTACATACATCAATAAAAAGCAATTAATCAATGAAGCCACCACTCACATTCAATGGTGCATGTGTGCAGGGCAAGCCAAGTTGTTGTCGAGTTGGTGTTGGATCTGCCCATCGCTGGGCCAAGATTCCTGCAAAACAAGAACAATGCATACACACTCAGTGTGTAATCACTGGTTGTCAAGCTGGTGGGGAAGCACCATGTCTCAATGACCCAGGTCAGCAATGTGCTCAACACCATCTTCCAGCATCTGTTTGCAGTGCAGCTGCAGCAGTTTCCATTGAAGGACTCAGCAGTGCAGTTCCTTATTGAATTCCACATCTGCCACTGGTACGAGATGAGCAAGAAGATATCTGAGAGCAAGGTATGGTTATTGTCATGCTATCATCACATATAAAGAAGGCAGCACCTTGTCCCTTAACTCCTCCATCGCAGTCTTCTGTTGGAGGGACAGCATCTGGTGGTGACTGTGGACGGCACAACCAAGGGCCATGAGCGTTCATTCCTCACCCTGCAAGTCAATGGCATCTGTGACAATCAGTTGTGGAGGGGAATGGTGGGTGTCTACAAGATGCCCTATGGGAAAACAGCAAGAGAGCAGGCCAAAGCAATCATGGGAGCGTGGGACGACCTTGTCAAGCAGCAGAAGAAGCTGTGCATGCCAACAACCAAGCTGTTCAAGGTCTGTGGCATCTCCTATGACAACACCAACAACAATCAGGGAAACTGTGGTGGTGTGCAAGTCCTGCTTGATCAAGAGAGGGAGAGGAGGGCAATGTCAGCCAACCACAAGTTTTGGCCCCTCATTGAGAAGAGCTGTACCAAGCACACACTCTCCCTCTGTCCAAAGCGATTCAAGAGCCTGGTGAAGCTCACAGTCATGAAATGGAAGTGGCTGCACCTGCAGGCGCCAGCGGATGTGAAGCAGTACCACAAGCTGTTCACATTGTTGATGCAACAAATCTCACAGCGCCTGATCAAAGGGTCATGGATGAGGCCATGGTGAGGCTTTGTGCAGAGCTTGGGTGCCGAACCAACACGACCTGACCATGTGACACGCGTGCACTTCATCAGCATTGATCAGATGGCCCACTGGGTGTACTGGTGGTACGTGGTCATTGTGCTGGCCTGTGTTCATGCTGTTGATAACACTGAACCTGCACAAATGCAGGTATCCATACCTGATTCTCTGGTACACAGTTCTGGGACCAGCATGCCTCACCGACAAAGACAATGCAGACTTCAAGGCCCTTCTCAATCCTGATATCTTCTGCTTGATCAAGATCAGCGCCATTGGAATGGAGGTATGTGAGGAATGAACAGTTGATCAACAGCTGCTGACAGTGGAGTATGTACATGCAGAGAATCCTTGGGCCATTCATGAGTGTGCTGCTGGCAGCTGAGAAGGTGATGGGCTACGTTGGGCGCCTGGAGAAGCTGGTAGAGCTGACCCTTGCACTCTACACAAGCCTGGCCACAATGATCAGCTTCTTCTTGAATGATGCCGCACTCCAACCACATCGGCTCACCACCAGCGACCTGACTGAGAAGATCAAGCAGTTAGCTCCTAAATGGGGCACACATGTCGCCTCCATCTTGTTGTCAGACCTGCGGTTTACTCCATTCCTTGCTGACTTGTCTCCCTTGTCAGCACTAGTCCCACTGGATTGTGCCTCACCACCATCATCAGCACGACCCACATCCATCTCCTCCTCGTCCTTCAGCCTCTGCCTCTCGCCCAATGCATTGTACCCTACGCCTGCCCTTCTCAAGGATCTGAAATCACCAACACCATTCACCATCATGAAGAGCACAGGTCCATGCACCTTGCAGATCATCATCCCCAAGAACCCTCCCCACAAGACTGCCCATCAATTCCTCCTGTGGATGCAGCTGTACACAGCAGTGATGCTTGTCACATTCAAGAAGCTAGACAGCAAGTATCTCATGGCCAGGGAGTATGCACAAGATCCCTTCATGTGTGATCTTGTTCTGCTGGTGATGATGTGGCCAATTGAGTGTGTCTTTGGCGAGACTGGAGAGCACCTGAAGGAGAGCAACAACAACATCCGTGCTGCCATCCTCTCCACGTGTGTGGCCTGCAATGAGTACCCCAACAATAGCACCATGATGGAGGGCTACATGAATGCCTTCCCAAATGTGTGTTGCCCAAGCTGCTCACCCTGTGTGCATGACCTCCTCAGTAACTGTTCATTGTTGGTCAAGTGCAGATCATGCAGGAGGCATGTACAGAGCTGCAGAGGGCCATGAAGAGAAAGGAGATGGACGCCATCGCTGAGAGCAGGTTCACTGAAGAGGCCCAGCAGGAGCATGAGAAGGCAGCCAGACGAAGTGCGCTCGAGGCAGAGAACGCGGCGGTGACGGCTGTCATGGCGCAGCACAGCTCTGCACTGGCCCAGCAGTCTGTCACATGTGGCACCATGAAGGCGTTCCTGCAAGAGAGGAGGAAGAGTGGGTGGGTCATGCCACAGCCTCCAACGTTGCCTGTGCTCTCCAAGATGAAGTGCACGGACCTCATCAACGCCATTCGCATGCTTGCTGCTGCACCGTGCGACACGATCACGCTGCCCACGAGTGTCAGCGAGCCCGATGACGGCGATGACACCCCTCTGTCGACTGCAACATTGTGTGGCGGTGGCGATGACAGGGAGGAGGTGGATGAGGATGGGGCAGATGAAGTGGGTGAGGGGGAGCTGTACCAGGATGATGACGACTCAGACATTGACGTGGCCACATATGATGTGTTCATGGATGCTGCCCTTCTTGAGGTGGCTGTGGAGGAGACAGCAAAGGCTGCTGTGGATGCTGAGAAAGCCACGCTCGCCACCAATGCTGAGCATGGCGCCCTCAGTGCTCCCCTCCTGTTGCCTGCCCCCACATGGACCTCTGTCTTGGTTGCAAGCTTCCTTGCCCAGCACAATGTTGGTGTTGGCCTTGCTTGGGTCCATCGTCCTCCTCCTTGTTGAATGATAAAGGTGTTCTAATAAATGAGATTAAAGATGATGTTTAAATTACATTGTAGAAGAGAGATAGTACTAATGCTGAAAGTTGTGGTCCCACTGCATGACTGTTTGTGTTGATGTAGAACCTAATGACAATGGATGTGAAGGTTACCCTGGTATCCACCAGGTAGGCCTCCACATCGCATCTCACCAGTCGCGTCCCAAAATCCTTGTTCAACGTGTGGTCATGGTCATGGTCGTTTCTGGTCTGTGCTCGAATTCGAGCGGTTGCCGTGGTCGTGAACAAAAACAAATCCAGGTTCTATGCCGGCACGTGTATTTTCGAGGGAGAACTCTGCCGAGCATCCCCCAATGATAATTCGTTGCGCGAGGCTACCCTTTTGCCCCACAGGATTTCCCTTTGCTGGAGTAATCAAGGGCAGAAACCCTGAGTCATCGGCGAGATTTATATTTCTTGTTGGCGAAATTCGCCACCGGGGCAGGAAAACCGAAGGAGTCGGGCCTAGGGAAAACAAGAAAGGAGAAACCCTATGTCGACGATCGGGACCGACCTGATCTTGACCCCGGCTGCCAGGAAATACGAGAACGTGCCGGGCCTAGAAAAAAAAGCCCAACACGAGCTTCACGAAAAACACGTGTGCACCGGAGCACGGCGTGAGTAGATCTTACCTCTCGCCGACAGCCACTCTCTCGCCGAGAGAGTTACGCTTATCTCGAATTGCTTAATGCGTTTAAGTTAGTTGCAGTCTCACTCCACCAGTGAAAGTTGTGTTGTTGATCCAACCTCTCGCGTTGTTCTCCCTTCTTCGTTGCCCGCCGTGAGTCTTAGGTCTCCCCTCTCTTCTCAAGGTAAGCCCACCAATGCATGTACCTGCCAATCAACACCTTCAGACAAGTCCGTTTTATATAGTTTTTCGATTCGTTCTTATTTGCTGTTCAACAGCTCATTCAGAAAATTACTTTTCTTCGTTGTAGTAGCGTAGAAACCAGTTGATCGAATGCAAGAGTGGATGGGCTATGTGGCGGCGGCCGTGGCGGTCTTCTGCTTCGGCAGCAACTTGGTCCCGGTGAAGAAGTTCGAGACCGGCGACGGGATGTTCTTCCAGTGGATCCTGTGCACGGGCATCTGGCTCACGGGCCTCGTCGTTAACGGCATCCAGGGCTGGCCCACCTTCGAGCCCATTGCCATGATTGGCGGCGTGCTCTGGTGCACGGGCAACCTCCTCACCGTCCCCATCATCAAGATGATTGGCCTTGGCCTGGGCCTCCTCCTCTGGGGGTACAACCTCACCTCCAGCTCCATGATGGAGTCCTGTTTTCTGCACCACTTGGCTGACAACAACAACTACAACGCACCTGTGGCAGCTTGACCAACTTGATCATGGGCTGGGCCACCGGTACCTTCGGGCTGTTTGGCCTCAGCTCCAACGAGGTCAGCCTCCCTCCTGCCGTCCATCCACCTCCACCGCCTCACAACGGCTCACGTTCATCGCGTGTGTTTCCAACGTGCAGATCAAGACGCCCTGGCTCAACTACCTGGGCATCTCACTGGCTGTGGCCTCTGTCGGCGTCTACGCCTTTGTCAAGCCCACTGTCAAGAAGATTGGTTTGTGCTCAGCGGGGGGGGGGTGATGATGACCAGTTTGCTGATGTTGTCTACCTCCGTGGAACAACTTGTTTTCGTGTGTCTGTATGGACAGGTGAGGACGAACACTGCGACGTGGAGGAACACCACTCCGTCAACGTAGGCAGGCTCGAGGATTCCTACTTGATCACCAACCCTGGCCACGCTGACCACAAGGGCCACAGCAAGGAGCAGGACGATTCGTTTGCCTTCATTGAACGCCTGCCTTCCGCCACTAAGCGCGTGCTCGGTGTCGTGCTGGCAATTGTTACTGGCCTCTTCTTTGGTCTGCTTCTCCTCTTTTGTCTTCTCTGTTCTCTCCGGAAACATTTTTAGTTTTTTTTTGTTTTTTTAAAATCTGTTTATTAACTTCTTTTCGTGGTGCTACACAACAGGCGTCAACTTCGACCCTCCGCAGTGGCTGATCGACCACTGCGAGCCGTGTGACCACTCGGGTGGCCACAGCAGCAAGGGTCTTGACTATGTTTGGTCTCACTTCTGTGGCATCTTCCTAGGTAGGCCCTGTCAAATTTAAATTGATATCTTTGTTGGGTTCACTGACATTTTCAAACCCTCCCTTCCTTCAAGCCTCGACTGTCTACTTCTTGCTCTACAGCTTGTTGAAGCGCAACAAGCCAGCCATCAATCCGCAAGTCGTGCTGCCCGGCATCGTTTCGGGTACACTATCCTCTCTTTACGGCCAATCATTGCTCCTGGGTAACTTTGGGGAGGGACTTTTGTAGGCGTCATGTGGGGGATTGCGCAGAGTAGTTGGTTCGTAGCCAATCAGGGTGCGTGTACCTACCGTGCCGCACCAGCCGCGTGCGCTCACACAATTTTCGCGAGATCCTCATTCCGTGCGCTTACCTGTGGATGGGGTTTGTCGCAGAGCTGGGACTGACCGTTTCGTTCCCCATCATTGCGACTGGCCCGGGCGCCGTTGGTTGTCTGTGGGGCATCCTCCTCTTTGGAGAGATCAAGGGCGGGCGCAACTTCCTCTTCTTTGGCGCGGCTATCGCGCTCAACGCCGTCGGCGTGGCCCTCATCACCCTGGGCAAATCTGTCAGCGTGTAAGGGTTTGGCTCCTACGAGGAGTCCAGGCCCACCGGTCAAACGCCGCATAGTTCTTGTTTTGTCCATGGATCGTGAAACATAAACAATTTGTTTGTTTATGAAAAAGTACAACGTAACGTGATAACAAGAGAAGAAGAAGAAGAGGAGGTTTGCGGAAGAACAAGAAGGACGTGGGAAGGAGGGTGAAGAAGAGAGAGTGCGCACACTCACTTGGAGGGCGGGGAGGGGACGGCGATGAGGGCGTGCCACTGCTGGGACAGCAGACGCCACACGGCCACGGAGGGGATGAGCGGCCGCGCGAGGGCGGCGCCGGCCACCGACGAGAAGGCGGCCGACGGGAAGAGGAGCCGCAGCATGGCCTCGCGGTGCTCGCGGTAGAGGAGCTGGCCCAGGGCCAGCACCGCCTCCATGCGGCTCTTCTGGTTCTTGTCCTTGAGCATGGCCACCAGGAACTTGCGGTACTTGAGCGACAGCAGCGCGTCGCCGTGGCCCAGCCCGCCGCCGATGCCCAGCCCGCCCTCCTCGTCGTCGCTGCCGAACGAGAAGTCAATGTCGTCCGCGCTCTCCTCCCGGCCGACGGACGACTCGCGCTTCTTGGCGGCGCCGGCGCTGTTGGTCGCGGCGGCGGTGGTGGCGCCCATGGCGGTGGCCATGGTCATGGTCATCACCGGCGGCGACTTGGCGCTCCGCTCGTCGCCGGCCTTTTTTCGCAGCCCGCGCTCGGCGTCCGCGGCGGCCGGAACGGCAGACGAAGCTGACGTCAGCGAAGCGGAGGCCGACGACAAAGAGGTGGAGGAGGTGGCGGTGGCGGTGGCGTTGGAGGAGGAGGAGGAGGAGGAGGAGAGGTGTTGGGCCATGGCGTAGAGGTAGTAGTTGGCCATCATGCGGAAGGCCTGGCGCTTGATGGTGCTGTCCTTGTTCTTGAAGAGGTACTCGATCTCCTTCTCCTCGTACTCCATCTCCTTCCTCTTCTTGACGATCAGCTTGTCGATGCTGTCGTCCTTGTTGTTGGCCGGGTGCTCGCCGGCTGCAGAGCCGAGCGTGGACGAGGCCGTCGTGGCCTCGCGCTCGGCGGCGTCGCGCTCGCCCTCGCGGCCGTAGCCGCCCGTGCCCAGCAGCGGAGGCGGCGGCGGCGCGAGCACGTCGTAGTTGCCGTAGCCGATGAACTTGATGAGGAGCGACAGCAGGCGCCGGCGCATCTCGTGGCTCTTGGTGCGGTTGATGGCGGACGGGATGAGGTGGATGCAGTGGGCGCCCAGGTTGCCCAGCGCGGTGATGGTCTTCATGAGGATCTTGGTGTCGCGGCAGTGGAGCAGCGACAGCAGCGGCGACAGGTGGTCGAACACCGAGAGCCGGTTGGCCTCGCCCAGCAGTATGAACGCCTGCAGCTGCACCTGCGACTCCTCCGCGAACGTGTTCAGGAACCTGTAGTCGCGTGTCGTGTCGTGTCGTGTCGTGTCGTGTCGTGTCGTGTCGTGTCGTGTCGTGTCGTGTCGTGTCGTGTCGTGTCAGAACGAGCGTTGAACCTGCGGGGCGGCGGTGGGCCAGGGCGCGCACCTGGTTAGTCGCTGCAGGGCAAAGGTGTTGTTGGCGATCATCTGCGGGTACTGGCGGATGGCCTTGATGGCCGCCTTCTTCACGGGCACCGAGTTGTCGTCGAGCTTGGCCAGCACGTGCGAGAGGTAGTTCGAACACAACGTGAGCGCTGCAAAAGAGGCGTCGACGAGGGAAGAGAAACGTTTTGGAGTTATTGACCTGCCATTGCCCCGCGCGGGGCGAGCGACAGCTAAGCAAGGCGGGAGGTCGTACGATCGGGGTGCTTGTCGCCGTTTTGTCGGTAGTGGGCAAAGATGAGGGACACGGCGTAGAGGGTCATGATCACCACGCACGGCTCCTCCTCGTCCTCTTCATCGTCCATAATTCTGTGTAGACACAGAGCGAAATGCAGCAACAACGCGTGATATCAGATTGTGTGCCGTGTGTGTGTCGTGTGTGTGTCGTGGGTGTACCGGAGAATGTCGTCGACAAAGAGGAGGAGCGCGTCTACGCCGAGCGCGCAGAGGATCTGGATGGCGCTCTCCTTCACATAGTACTCTTCGTAGCGCAGAAGCGCAGCGATGCCCTGCAGGTGCTCTGTGCGTGCGCGTGCGGCATGTGTCATCAGCTTAGGTGTGCGTGCGTGCATGCGTGTGCGTGCGTACCGTAAGCGAGAGTTCGCAGGAGAGCGAGCTTGGAGAGCTGGGTGACGGCGATGGTGCGGAGCCAGTTGTCCTCGACCAGCAGCAGCTCCGCGATGTCGGGAATGAAGGGAATGCCCTTCATCCCCGCCGCCCCGATCGTCTCCACCACCGTCGCCCGCAATCGACTGTGTATTGCATGAGAGCCACAAACGATCAATATTCGCTTGCACGCGATGGAACTGTGTGTGTGGTGTGTGACGCGCACCTGGGTTCCTTCAGCAACGAGCCCACGAGGGTCAGCGATTCGTCTGATATGTGACTGCCGAAGAAGGCCAGCGTGCGGGTGGCGGACTGCAAACACCACAACACAGCAAGGAATCAATGGGAGGTGAGTCGTTGTCGCCACCGCTCGCGCACAGGGCTGAGCGGGTGTGGAGGCTGGTGGTGGTGTGTCGGCACCTCGACCACGGCCTTGTCCTCGGCGGAGGTCTTCACAACGTTGACCACGGAGGCCTCCACTCGCTTCAGCATATCCAGGCCTTGGGGGAGAGACAAGGTCAGAGGTGAGTACTCCGCGCACCAGTATAGAGGTGGCTTGCGGCCGTGGGGGCGTATGTGCACATACCATCGGGCCGCAGGGAAAAGTGCTGTACAACCGCGCCGAGAGCGGCGACCGCGGTGGCGCGAACGAAGTAGATCCGGTTCTTGAGCATCGAGCAGAGGACTAACAGATTGTCGTCCAGGTCCAGGTGAATGCCTGCAAACACATTCGTTTCGCGACAAACGTGTGAGCCAGCCCAGCCAACACCAAAAAGAACGAAGACGGGGAAAAGAAGAACGAAGGCGGGGGAGGTGAGTACCGCTGACGAATACTCGCAGGAGGTCTAGGGCCTCGGTCCTGGCATCGGCTTCGCGGTGACTGAGCAGGGCCATGGTCTGATGGATCACCTGTCGCAGGCGCGCGTGCCGCTGGGTCCGCTTCTCGTCGTCGTCGCCCTGGCACTCGTGGTCGACCGCGATGCCGTCGCGCGCTCGGTGCTCGCCCTTGCGGCTCTGCTCGAGCAGGCTCACCAGCCGGATGGCCGTCAGCACCATGTACGCGTTCCGGTTCTGCATCATCTCGAAGCACTTGTTCTCCACCTCGACCTTCGTCCGCTCCAACAACGCCGCATCCTCGGCCGAATACCTGCACCGACGTAACGACATCAATACCGTGCGCGTTGACCACACACGACACACAACACACGCCACGCGCACGACTGGGTGGCTAGTGGCGAACCTGCGACTGCCGGTGAGGGCCGAGTAGGTGAGGTCCTGCAGCTTGGCGATGAGCGTCTGGACGGTGATGTGGTCCTCCTCGGTGAGCAGGAGGTCGATGAGTAGGTGCAGGTAGCGCAGCGCGTTGACGTCGTTCAGGTGCAGCACGCCGGGAATGGCCTCCACCATCTCCAGCCGCAGCTCGCGAGCTTCACTGCCGTTGGGGGTCGTTGCCGCCGGTGGTGCCTGAGGCTCAGACGACTCGCCGTGTGGCCGTTGCTGGCCGAGCCACGACGCGAGCACCTCGAACTTGGTCGTCGAGTAGAGCGATGAGGCCCCGTTGTGCGACCGATTGGTGGCGGCGGCGACTTGTCGCTTGTCGTCCACGGCGGCCTCGGCGTCCTCGTCGGCGATCCGCCGGGCCTCGAGCTGCTCCCGGTCGCCCACGTCCCTGTCGATGGCCTGCAGCAGCTGGATGACCTCGTGCTTCAGGTAGAAGTCGATTACCGCGTTGGTCTCGTCGCTGCTCCGGCCGCCCACAGACAACACAGCATATACCAAACATATTTCTTCAGTCAGTGCTCGCGCCGGTGAATTCTTGGCGACCAACAAAGAATGTATGGAATGAAAAAATGAATGAATGGTGCGTACCGTTGGTTGTGGCAGTTGAGCAGGGAGTCGAGCCTGGGCCGAAGCCGAGCAGGGTCGATCCGGTCGGTGATGACCAGGCACAGCTTCTTGAGGAAGAAGGGCTTGCACTTGACGAGGTCGAGCATCATGCCCAGGTCCTCGCACCGCGCGGCGGTCTCGCCGAGGGCCTCGAACACCACCGTCACGAAGGGCACCAGCAGCGGGTCCAGATCGTCCGCGGCCGACGCGTCGGACGACGACGACCCGCCGCCGCCGATGCCCAGCAGACCGCCGGAGGAGGTCTTCCGCTTCCTCCGGGCCGACAGGTCCCGCAGGATGTCGCCCAGCACCGGACTGGTCGGCTTGTACTCCTGGCTCAGTCCCGTGAGCACCTGTGCGACCACGGTCATGCCGCCCGATCGGGTGTGTGCGCGTGTGAGTGCGGTTGTAGCGACGCCACATACTGGGGCGAGGGGGGAAGAGGAGGCGATACCAGGCAGATGGCCTTGCGCGCGGGATCGAACTTTTGTTTCGTTGGCAGCAGAGGATTGGCCAGCAGGCCCAGGACGATCAAGACCAGCAATCGCAGGCCAGGATCCTATAGAGAGACGCGCACACCGCCACAGGCGTGAGTGGGGGCAGTCGTCACCCGGTGCGGGCCACGTTGCAGCGTGCGCGCGGGGAGGGGAGGGGAGTACCTCATGACCGAGCCAGCGGAGGAGCCATACGTAGACATCGAACGTCTGCATCATCTTCACCGCCGAGTTCACCAGTTGCCGAATTTGTATTTCCTCTGCAACCCGCCGCGGATCGAGTGGAATGTGAGCCAGCTAGGCCATCGAAGAAGAAGCTTCATCACGTACCATCGCGAAGGAGCTGGCCGAAGAGGAATGTTCGCTGGACGGGCGTGAGGGAGGCGATGGAGAGCTGGGCCATCTCCTTCATGACGTTGGTCGCCTCGAGCTGCACCAGCGCGTGCTTGTCCTTGAGCCGGGCCGACACGAGCTGGATGACCCGCACGAAGCCCAGCGGGTCCTCCCGCTTGTCGTTGGCCGAGCCGCGCCGGCGCCGATTGTTCGTCTCCGCCGCCGCCGAGTCGCTCGCGGCCGGTGTTCGGCCGTTGGTCGCGTCGTCGGTGCGGCCGGGCCGAGGTCGCGCGAGGTGCGGCGGGAAGATGGGGTTGTTGCCCTTGTTGAGCAGGGTCAGCCGCCACAGGAGGTTGAGGGCCGCCTTGCGCACGCGGGGTTCGTCGTCGTCGAGCAGGCTGTTAATTACAATATTTATATTCCGCTCGTTGATCACGCCGCCCAGATAGAACTTCACCATCAGATCGATGGCGTACACCGGATTCTGACCTGTAAGACAAGTCGAGACCCGGCGTTAGGGTGCTTTGAATCGCACACGCACACGCACACGCACACGCACACGCACGCAAGGGAGAAGCTGGCGCACCTTTGAAGACATCTATACATTTGGTCATGACAGCTTCGACCACCTTAGTGCCCAGGACGTGGTTGAGTTGGAGGTAGACCGGGTAGTAGTCCAGGTGGAGGAGCGCCGACTCAGACCGATCCAGGAATTCGAGGAATGCGGCGCCCCACTTCGTCTTTTTCTTCAGCGCTCCCGGCGGCTCTCGCACGCCAGTGTCGGAGGCCCGGGCCTGTTTGAGCACGCCCTCGCAGGCCTTGGCTCGCAGAAGGTGGGAAAATCGCAGCTGGCCAAGATCTTGCGGGTCTGTGCGTCGTGTGTGCAACGTGTGCGTGTGGGTGTGCGTCAGCAAGCAACATTAGCGAGTGGGGCGAACGAAAGATAATTGATGAGAGCAAGAGGGTGTACCAGTGTTGTGTCCCTTGAAGGAGGCGAACCACTCCTTGAGCGACGGGAACTTGAGCGCCAGGATCTTCTCGGCCAGCCAGTGCGTGCCCTTCTTGAAGCCGATGAAGAGGATGACCTCGGCCCACCACTTGTCCGTCAGATGGCGCTCGTCGGCCCAAAAATAGCGAAGGAAGTCCTTCTTCTCCCCTCCGTCCTCGCCTCCTCGCTCTCGCACCGACGCCGCAGGACCCGAAGATGGCGACGTGGCGACCAGGCCGTCCAGTGTCCGCCGGCTGTCAGTCTCCGCCGCCGGCTCGTCGCCGCTGGCGTTGGCGTGCTGCTGTGGCTGCTGTCGACGGCCGCCGCCGCTTTGCATGTAGTGGTGCCAGGGCTTGTGCTGGGCCTCCCACGGGTGCAGGACGTCGGTCACCACCTTGGCGAAGGTGACCTCGTCCTCGAGGTTGGCCATGCAGGTGAGCATGTAGTCGGCCACGAAGAACTGGTGGAGCGTGGCGTTGGCAAAGGCCAGCGTGCGGCCCACGCCGTGCTGCAGCACGACGCCGGGCAGCATTCGCGCCACCTCGTCCAGCAGGCGCTCGCCGTTCTGTCGTCGCTCCTCCGGCTGGTCGAGGTCGGCCCGTCGCAGCTGGTGGTACTTGCCCATCGCCTCCACGAACACGCGGCGCTGCGCCACGAAGATGTCCGCCACCGCGCCGGCGCCGGTGGCGGTGGACCCGTCGGTGGCGTTGGCGTTGGCGTTGGCGTTGCCGTTGAAGAGCGGGTTCTGTACATAGTGGTAGCTCTTGCCGTAGTTGTCGTCCCACCACACGATCAAGTAGGCCAGGAGGCCGATCAGTTTCCGTCGCTCGACGGCCTCCTCGTCGTCGCTGGCCTCATTGGCCTCGTCGGCCTTGTTGTGGGTCTTCCGCTCAGGCAGCAGCTCGCGCAAGATGCTGCGCTCGGGCTTGTCCGCTTCTGCGGCGGCGAGCTGAAGCCGGCTGCGGTCGGCCGCGCCCTTGGCCAGTGACCCGGCGAGGTGGCACAGCAGCTCGTGGAGATTAGTGGCCGGCATCGAACTGCCGTCGCGCGACTGGGCGAGCAGGATGTCCCGCAGCAGCACAAAGAGCAGGAGCGGGCTCTGCTTCTGCGTGGGGAGCACGAGGCCCTTCCGCTCGAGCAGGCAGTCCAGCAGCGCCGGGGCCGCGGGCAGGGCCGACAGACCGAACTTGTCGAAGAGGGCCTTGGCGTACAGCCGCTGCTCCGTCTCCCCGCACAGGCTGTCGAGTTTGAGGATTCGCCACTGCTTGCTGCTGCTCACGCCCTCTCCGGCCTCGGACTCGCCTTCGGCCTCCTCCGCTGCGCCGGCAGCGGTGCTCCCCGTGGAGGGGTTGGTGGCGGCGCCGACGCTGGGGACCTGGGTCGGACGCAGCGGGTAGCGCATGAGATCGGCCAGCGTGTTCACACGGCAGCACGCGACGACTCGCTGCAGCCGCTTGCCAAACGTGGCGCCCAGCTTCCTTCCGAACGACTGCAGCGCGCAGATGGACGCACAGCTCGTCTGCGCCGGCCCCAAGATAGATAACACACGACACACGACACACACGACACACGCACGGTGAGCACATTGCATTCGTATCGATGAAGAGGCAAGAAGCATAAGTTATCTTCTTCTTTGTTCTCGTAACGGGAAAGCGAATAAAGGAAGAGTAATAAAGAATGATAATTAAATAAGAGCGCCACAAAGGGGACAGAGAGCGCATAACAAACACGAACCTCATCGTTGGTGGTGTCCTTGTAGCCCAGCAGGCCGTAGAGGAGTTCGTTGGCGAGGTCGCGCGGCACCGCGTCGAGGCCGTCGAGCAGCAGCACAAAGGGATGACGCGAGTCGCGCAGCAGCTCGCCCAGCAGGCGCGCGGCCGTGGTGGCGGTGGTTGGCGTCGAAGAGGAGGACGCCTGTGGCGTGAAGCCGTGCCAGCTCTGCACAGCGGATCGAAGCAGCAATCCGGCGGGATCGATCTCGCTCTCCATCTTCTCGGCGGCTGCTGCGCGGCTGGCGTCGAAGAGCAGCTGGGAGATGAGGTGTGCGCAGTTGATGTAGATGGGGAAGGCGGAGCGCAGAGGCTGGGAGGGCGACGGCGTGGCGATGCGATCGAACTCGCGCAGAATGCGGCGTAGGACGACGGTCTTGCCCGATCCCTCGTCGCCCGCGATGAGGGAGAATTGGCAGTCGGGCGATGTGAGCAGCTGGCCCAGGGTCACCTCCAGATCCTCCTCCACCACCGACTCGCCAAACCCGCCTTCTAGATCGCCGTAGGAGAGCAAGTAGCTCAAGTTGTTCACGCTGATCACTTTCAAGTGTACGAATTCGCTCTCGCTGGCTGCATCTGCGATCAGCATCTCGTCCCTTGGCTTCGTTTCTTCTTCCACATCCTTTGTTGATGCGTCTCCTCCTTCTTGTGACGCCGTCGCAGATGTGGTTGATGATGAAGGTGTGGGCTCGCTGCGAGGCGCGGAATGGAGGTTAACGGCCAGGTGGCGTTGTAGGTCCTGGACGATAAGATCGGCGTTCTCGTCTTCACGTATCTCAAGCGCGGCCAGCCGCTTGTAGACCTGCAAGATCGACACGGGCGGGGGCGCAGTCGATCGACCATTTTCTTTCGGGGTGGTGCCCCCCTCTGCCATTTCCATTCGAAATCGCTTATCTTCTGATTGCTCCTTTGTGCAATTCAAAAAGCGGCAGTGGGTGCAGAGGCTAAGAGAAATGGCTCCCCCTTCCTCAAATGCGACGTTCACCGCGCGGGAAATCTGATCTTCGCTGGTGGCTCTCTTTCGCCTTTCGTTTCGGCGTTGGGCTTTTTCGAAAATTTGAGAAGCATTTCAAAAAATCGTACAAATTACGAAATGGCCACAAATTCCAGGCGAAAAAGTTTAGAGAAAAAGAGCAGAAAAGCAACAGTTCAGCAAATCGCATCTGATCGAAGGCTGCAAGCGGTACCTGGCAGGTCTCGGTTTCGATTTGTGTTCACATTTCTTTCGTCAATGCTGGCCGCCGATCGCCCCGCTGTCGTGATGGAGACGAAAGTATTGAAGATTAATCCCTCATCGTTCGCCGATGAAGAGCTGGCCGAGGCAGTGGAGCTCATCCGCCAAGGCGAGCTCGTTTCCTTTCCCACGGAAACAGTGTATGGTACGATGACGTTAATTCTCCCCGTTCCATTCCATGAATGAATGCTCACCGGCCGGTGAGCAACGTGCAACGTTTAATCAGGGCTGGGCGCGAATGCACTGGACAACGAAGCCTGCAAGAAGATCTTCCAAGCCAAGGGGAGGTACGACAGTGCAGCCGCTTCTCTTGACATCTCGCGTCTTCATGTGTCTCACGCCCGGGCCTCTCTTCGCTCTCTTCCTGTTCTATCAATGGCACAGGCCATCGGACAACCCGCTGATCGTGCACATCTCTTCGATGGAAATGCTTCACACCGTGGCCGCCAGCGTGCCACCGAAAGTGGACGAGTTCCTCACCCGGTCGCAGTTCTGGCCGGGGCCTCTCACCATCCTCTTCCCTAAAAAGGTGAGCCACCGCCGGCCCACGGCCATCCATGACTACTCTCGCGAGTGAGATCTCACTTTCGCGGTGAGTTGCGTAGGAGAATGTCCCTCAGGCGGTGACTGCCGGCCAGACCACCGTGGCCGTTCGCATGCCCAGCCACCCCATCGCCCACAAACTGATTGCCCTCTCGGGTACGTACCAACGTCTAACGTTGCACATTCTCTGCAAAATTGTGGCCCACCACCGCCATCACCGGCGCCTCCTGCTCACCACACAGACCCAACGTTGGGTGCGCTCAGGCGTTCCGATTGCGGCGCCGAGCGCCAATATGTCCGGGCGACCGAGCCCCACGACGGCGGGCCACGTCATCGCCGACCTCACGGGGAGGGTCAAGTGCATCGTCGACGGCGGCGGCACCTCGGTGGGCCTCGAGTCCACGGTCCTCGACATGAGCCGAGATCCGCCCATGGTGCTGCGACCAGGGGGCATCACCCACGAGCAGCTCAAGAAGTACCTGCCGGACGTCGTGGTCTATGGCCAGGGCGGCCACAAGGACCAGTCCATGGAGGACAAGCCGCCCACGCCGGGCCTCAAGTACCGCCACTACTCGCCCAACGCCTACGTGGTCCTCTTTGATCTGGCCCCGCCCCCCAAGGAAGGCGGAGACCACGCGGACACCGGCGGCGGCGGCCTGCGCATGGGCGAGGAGCTCATCGCGCGGGTGCGGAAGGCCCTCGACGACAAGCAGAGCGTGGGCATCATCCACACGCACCGGGAGATCGAGCTGCCCGCGGACCTCAAGGCCCTGGCGCGACACGTCGGCGACGCCGGAGGGGACAGCGGCGCGGACGACCCGCGGGAGCCGCTGCTGGTGTACCCGGTCGCGGTGGAGGTGGACCAGACCGACGAGGAGGGCAGGGAGCGATTCGCCGCCGAGGTCGCCCGAGGCCTCTTCAAGGCGCTCCGGGGGCTCGACGCCCGAGGCGTGGACATCATCTTTGTCGAGGTACTACATACCTTCATCTTCATCGTTTGAGTGATCGTCACCTTCCCGTGTGCCTCTAACACGTGGATATTGATCAATCACAGGGCATCGACGAAAGCCACACCGGCTACGCCGTCATGAACCGATTGCGGAAGGCCGCCGCTGCGTCCGTGCACTGTGTTGGTTTGTGAAAAGCGCAGAGAGAGAGGAAGAGACGAAGATGGAAGCACTTCTCAACCTGTTGTCATTGTTGCCATTGTTGTTGCAGTTGTTGCTACTGCAGGGTGAGATTGTGTGGGATTGGCTTGCACCACCTCAAACATGTCAAATTAATCAGGTAGGGTCAAAGGAGACAGAGTAGTCGAGTTACTCTTCTTCTTCGTCCCTCCCCACCTTCAACACTACACTCGAGTGGATCTCTCAAGACGAGGCACGATGGTACAGCGTGGAAGAAGTGCTGCGCTGCTGGTGGCGGTCGTCCTGTGCGCCGTTTTCGTTGCGGGCGGTGCTGCCGCAAACTGGTCCGATGTGGACCAGATCCTCCAGGCCGGAGTGCAGGACGGAGCCTACCCCGGCTGCGTCGCCCTCGTAGGCAACAAGAACGTACGCTCATCCGCCGAACTGCCTTTGACGTGCATTTGTATGAATTTAATTCAAATTCATTTGAATTAAATCAATTAGTGGATTACTTCTATTGAATGAGGGACGTGCGAGATTCATGTGAGTTTGCTTTCAATGAACACAGCCAGTGCTAATCTGGAGGGGGCGAACAGGGAATCATCTATGAGCGTGCCGTGGGGCACTACACGTATGGCGCCACGCCGCCCTTCAGCTCCCGCAACCCGCCCATGGCCATCGACGTACGCCCTCCAGCTTGCCCCCCCCCTCCACATCTCTACTCCTTCGCGCTGCGTGCTGACCGTACTTCGTTTTGGGGACCGACAGACCCTCTTTGACATGGCGAGCTGCACCAAGGTCACCAGTACGCACTTCCATCACCACATCATGTGTGTCGTGCGTGTCGTGCGTGTCGTATGTCGTGTGCGTGGTGTCGCTGACAAGCGTGAGCGCCTCTTTGCAGCCACCACCACCGCCGTGGCCCAGTTCTACCAGCGCGGCGAGCTGCCCCTGCACACGCGCATCGCCGACGTGCTGGGCAAGGAGTACGCCCAGCACGGGAAGGGCGACATCACGGTCCTCAACTGCCTGCTCCACAACACGGGCTACCCTCCCGACCCCAGCCCCAACTACTGTACGCCCGCACCCTCCACCCGCCCGCAGCACTCGCACGCCGGCCGTTGACTCCAAGTGGTGTGTGCGTGTGCGGTGGCGCGTGTGCGGTGGGACACGCAGGGGACCCGGCGTTCGGCTGCCCGGAGACCCGCAAGCCGCACCCGGAGGAGAACTTCTCGTGCCAGGACCGCATCTACAAGAGCCTCCTCGCGCAGACCCTGGCCAACCCCGTCGGCAGCGTCTACGTCTACTCCGACCTCAGGTCCGGCTTTCATTTTTTTTTTTTGCCGGTGGCTCTTGACAATCGAACATCAAAAAGCTGACGTGTGTGCCGTGTGTGTCGTGCGTGTGTGTGTGTTGTGTCGTGTGTCGTGTGTGTGTGCGGCTGAACGCCAACAGCATGATCACGCTCATGTACGTGGTGGGCAATCTGGCCAAGGACCTCGGCTACGTCAAGCCCACCGACCTTATCGCCGGCTGCGACCAGGGAGGCCCCGGGTATCCCCCTTTTTCTCCTCTCTGTCTCGCGCCTGCCCTCCTCCAGCCCTGTGTAGATCCTGACGCGCATGTCGTGTCGCGTCGTGCGTGTCGTGTGCTGTTGCAGTGCCGCTCAGTGCTATTTCGAGGCGTATGTGCGCCGCTACGTGTTCCACCAGGCGTCGATGTACGATTCGTTCTTCCTTCCGCCCAGGTACGAGTGGAGCCGCTCCGCGCCCTGCGAAAACGACACCACCTACCTCCACAAGGTCATTCAGGTATGCGTCAAGCGGTTCTCCTTGCGGCGCTTCTTTCCTGTGCCCTAACGCACGACACACGCCGCACACACACGACACGACACGACACGACACACACGACACACACGCCGCACATGCACGACACGACACACACGACATTAGGGCCAAGTGTCGGACGGCAACGCCTACGCGCTGGGTGGCATTGCGGGCCACGCCGGCCTCTTCTCCAACGTGAGGGATCTCTTCAAGCTCATGCACAGGTGGATGTGGGCCGCCCCCAATGACCACTGGCTCAATACGTACCTTTCCGCACGACCGCACACATGCACCACCGAACACGCACGATGACACGACACACACGACACACGCACCCATTCACTCCTTTGCGCTGTGCAGGAGCACGGCCGAGTTCTTCGTGAAGGAGTACAACCACTCGCAGAGCAGCCGCGCGCTCGGCTGGAACACCAACGACCCCACCGTGCGCGACCAGGGCTGGGGCCTCTCCTGCGGCGCCCTCAGTGCCAAGACCTTCATGCACATCGGGTACTTGTTGTGCCGTGTGCCGTGTGTCGTGTGCCGTGTGTCGTGTGTGTTGGTGTGTTTTGGCCGCGCCGATGCTGTTCTCAACTGTTCGGTCGTTGTCCTGCGCAGGTACACGGGCACTGAGATGTGCGGAGACCCCGTCAATGGCGTCGTTACCATTCTGCTCACCAACAGGGTCTACCCTTCGTCGGACAACGAGAAGGTGGGCATCTACCGCCGCAAGTTCAACAACGCCGTGGTACAAGTCCTCGGCCTCTCCGGCTCGGACTCAGGCCCCATCGTCGTCCAGGAGTAAGCACCGGTGTGTATGTCAATTGGATCTTGAAAATGAACCTTTTTACACAATCTTCTTCGCATGTGTCCACTTCATGATGTTCTCTGCTGACAAAGACTGGAAATTGCAACTTCATGAAGACGAGGGCATCAGAGGAATTGCTGCAGCTTGTCCAGCAGCTCAGGTTCAAGCGAAGCCTGCTTTCCCATAGCTGGCTGCGTGAGCACAACTTAGAAGAGTGGAGAGGGGAGGGGAGGGTCAGTCGGTACCCCAGTGCTGAGGACTGACACGGCCAGGGTCATGACCTTACGCAGCAGCTTGGCCTCTTTCGCCGAGGAGTGACCTGCAACCACGCTCAGCCCCTGCAAGCCATTCACGAACTGCCCGGCCAGGAGTTCGGCCAAACCTCGAAGCAGGCGCACTTCCTGCTGGAAGGTGGGCCAATTGATCAGATCTGTGCGGACTGGTTGTGCAGAGGGAAACTGCAAGCTGATGCAGCACTGTCCTCACCTGGGTGGGCTGCGGAAGTGTCTGGAGGGCTGAAAGGCTTGCCACAATGAGCGTGTGGTCGGTGAGCTGGAGGCCGGCAAGAAGTCGCGTCTTGGCCAGCTCAATGCTTATGTTGGTGCGGGTCCCCTCGTGGTCACTGGCCGTCGAGAGAAGGTCGGTGTAGCAGGTGATTGCATTGGCGAAGCTGCCGGCGGCGCGGTGGCTCGCGGCCTCCGCCATGGCAGAACCGATCTTAGCACACGCTGCACAGTGGGCCGGCCCAGCGCCGAGGAGGCCGATCAAGCTGGGGAGCAGGGGCTGGCCGCATAGGTGGCATTTGCCGGAGGTGGTCAAGCTCGACCCGCCAGCGCCCAGCTGCATTCCCAGTAATTGGGCCGCAGGCTGCACGCTGATGAGGGACAGGGGTCCCGGGCCTGACGACGAAGTGGACGACGACGAGGGGAGCAATAGCGGCAGCGCAGCTCCCGCGAGCGCCGAGGAGTGGCCTATGTGAGCGGGCTCGTTGGGCAACAGCAGCTCCTTGACCAGGGTCACCAATTCAGGCGAATCTGTGGTAATAAATTGGCCAATAGCGTATCAAACGTGTCGCTATTGTTGACCAATGGCGTGTGAGGGAAAGAGGAGTACCCTCTCAGTGGACACACACCACCACCACCACCACACACGATACGTACCTGGAGAGAGGACCCTGCTTGGAAAACAACTTCGCCTGGGGAGCCTTTTTGATGGGGCAATCGAAGAGACTGCACAGCAGGGTTGGTAGTTGGGAAAGCGAGGAGTCGGCGGTGATACGCAGCTTGCGGGACACACGCGGTTTCAAGGGTCGGCCCTTACCATCGCCCAGGACGACCTGCAGCAGGATCTGCTGCTGGTGCTTCTCCGTGGGCGGGTGGGCCAGGTTGCGCTTTTCGTTGGCGAGCATGAGCTTCTTCCGCTCCAGCCTCTCCTTGTAAGGTCGCACCTGAAGAGAAAGATGGTAGCGAGCATCAAGGTCAGCTCAATGTTAAATCTATTTTGAAGGAGTTGAAAGAGCGATAAAATGAAGACACCTTGGCAAGGAGGGAGGCCAAGACGCGTTGCTTGAGCTCGGCTTCATGTTCTTCCTTGGTTCGGGCAGCCCACACCCGCAGTCGCTCCGCTTCGGTGGCTTTGAGCTGCTCCGCTTCAGCTGCGAGTCTGGACACCAGCTCCTGTTCTTGAGTTAGCCGTCTTGTGGTTTCCTCCTTCTCCACTTGATGAAAGAGTTCATCGCGGTTCGGTTGGCGACTCTCCTCCATCTTCTTCTTTTTATCCTTCTCCAACACAATTACTTTTTAGATCCTTGCAACCACGCGACGTCAACCTCGAGGCATCGGCCCGCAACAAATTCGGTCGAAATGGTCGCCCGATCGGAAATTTCGATTCGGTCTAAAAAATAATTGGTTTCGGGCCGAAGGCTGGATACACCAGCTTTTCCTGTGAAGGAGCAAGATCTAGGCGAAGAGGATGAGCGACAAGCAAGGCCTACCCAAGCTTCATACGACGGAGAAGGGCGTACCGGTCTACGATGCCGGTTCGAGCCGAAAAGCCAACCAGCTGGCTCGGGAGTGGGCCCAAGTGCCCCGCGCCGGACGAGGAGGCGAGTACATACCCTCCAGAGAGCTCAATGACCCCGGCCCCAATCGAACCCGCATCACCGCCGCCCAGCAGCAGCACGGCCGACCCGACCAACTGGGCATGCGCATGGCCATGGACAGGCAGGGAAAGATAGCACCCAACCAGTATGCCCACCACCCCGACCTCCACTCGGCCAAGTCGGGCGACCCGCCCCACCACGAGTTTCCCCACTACCACGCCACCAACGCCAAGGGTGAGAAAGTGATCTACGTCTACCGAAACGGAGGCGGAGGCGGCGGCGGAGGCCGTGGTGGTGGTGGGGGAGGCGGAGGCGGTGGTGGCGGGGGCCGCGGCGGGGGCGGGGGCGGAGGCCGTGGCGGTGGTGGTAGTGGTGGCCGTGGAGGCGGTAGCGCGTTGAGCGCCATTGCGAGCGGAGTCATGAGCTCAAGGGCCGGCGAGAAAGGCCACGCCCAAGCCTCGGGTATGCTCTTTTGTCTTTGCACGCGTTATTGCCGGGGCTCGCCCAGCCCAACCTGAGTGCACACCATCTCACCCGCGACACGAAACGCACACGGCACCACACGACACACGTAACGCTACGGTCCGTCTCCACAGGCCCAGGCGGCATCAAGTTCACCACCGAGTTGGACATCAACAGCGAACAGCAGCTGGGGAAGCTCGTAGGTTTGGTGGACCCAGAATCGGGCCTCCTCTCGCTGTTGACCTCGGCTCCCCAAGCGGGCAAGGTGCAGTACACTCTCGCCGGTGTGCGTGCGCGTGGGTGTGCATGCACGCAGCTGAACTGTACGACCTGAGCGTCCACAGGACCTCTTGGGAATCACCATGAGCGATCTGGCCCTGGCTCTGCTGCTGGTCCGGTCCGGCGATACCTCGTTCAGTCTCGACCCGGCTGACCCGAGCAATCCGTCGGGTCCCAGCCTCAGAAGGTGTACATCCCCGAGAGGCTGCGCTCCACCACGTTCGGGGAGATCATGTTCGAAGCTGACTGGAAGCTCAAGCTGCTGGCTTTTGGGTACTCACTCGCACGCGACCCCACCCGCACACGCACACGACACTTACAACACACTGACCGTGTCCTGATGTAGATCGCTGTCGTCGTCGAGTGTGCGGAGCGAGGCCGACATCACGTTTGCGCAGCCCGAAGGTGCAGCTGAGCACCGCTACTCGCGGCTGTGGATAGAGAACGCCCGTGTGTAGCTCGCCAAGTCCGAGGCAGGCGTGCTCGTCATCAAGGACGTGCAGATGGTCGTCCTGGCCAAGAGGCAGGTGTGCAACCTTTCCGCCCACCTGCACACCTGCACTATGGCCCTCGTGGACCTACTTAAGCCCGACACAACACACCACACATGGAACACTGCAGGTGCCAGATGCGGCCTCGCCATCGGGCTTGCGGGACGTCGATGAGCACGACCCGACAAGCTCGGAGCGAATCTGTGCTGAGGAGTTCACCAGGCGCTACGACGAGGTGGCGGCCCAGTACACGTGCTTCCAAAGGCTCACGGAGCTCAGCAAGGCGTTGAGCCTGGCCAAGTGTGCTTTCCAAACCCAAACGCAAACGCAAACGCTCAAACGCAACCCAAACGCAAACGCAAACCCAAACCCAAACGCAAACCCAAACCCAAACCCAAACGAAGCCCACCCGCAAACTCACTTCTTTGTTGCTGCCAGGTTTATTCTGACGCAGACGGCCATCGATTTGGACTGGGAGTTGATCGAGCAGGTGGCTTCCGGATGCATTACGCAAGTGTCACCCAACACCGTGCCCTCGCACCGGCAGTCTCATTCGCGCACTTTCACCACAGGCAACGCCTCTTTCAAGCGTACTCTCAACCTGGTATGTTTGTTGCACGCGCTCACGCACACGCACACGCCCACGCACCACCGCACACGCACACCTCTTGATTGCCTGGGCTGACATGGGGTGAGTAGACGGGAGGTGTCAACCTGAGGGTAAAGGTGTTTCAAGACTCCAACGACCGGCAGGTGGCGCAAAGCGCGGCGGTGCACAAAATCATCAAGGAGTCGTCCCACAGGGGCAGGGCCACACTGCCCTTGCGCACGTTCTACAAGGGCGATGCGCAGGGCGATTCGGCTGCGATGGTCACCATCAGCCAGGTACCCTTCTGCAAGTCCGCCTACCTGGTGAACGCCCAGCGCCTGCTCGACGCCAGTGATGCGCGTGGCGCCCTGGCCGTGCTTAGAGCCCAAGAAGCGGAAAGCAGCCGCAAGCCCCTGGCGGACGAGTACGTGCGGGCGCGGTGCATCGAGTCGTGGTGCCACCTGAAGCTTAACGACAATGCGAGCCTGCGGACCAGCATCGATGAAGCCAAGACGCCACTGCGCTACATGGAGCCGAGTGACGCCAGCCTCCGCCTGCTGGACGCCCTCGACACCGAGATGAAGAAGCGGTAAGCCATCAGAGGCTTGTGTGTTGCAAGAGTGCTTGTGTTATCTAACAATGCGCCACCTCTCATAGAACCAACGCTGCCTTGGGCGCGGCCCGCGCCCACCTGCAGAAGGCTGCCAACCTCACCGCGGCCAGCGCGAAGAGGACCTACTACCTCCTGGCGCTGTCCGAACTCTCGAGCGCGGTCGCACTGCAGCCAACCAGCTTTGAGTGCCTGCTAACTCGTGCCGAAGTTAATCTGTACAAATTCCCTCCCCCCACAAGGTGGTTTGTACCATGCTTCCTGGGCTCTTTTTACGAGGCGATCGACGCCTTCGCCGCTGCGGAACGACTCTTCGCACTGGGTTTGTTGATGTGCGTGTGCGTGTGCGTGTGCGTGTGCGTGTGCGTGTGCGTGTGCGTGTGCGTGTGCGTGTGCGTGTGCGTGTGCCATCGTGCGATCGTGTCTGCTTTAGCGAGTTGGGTAAGAATCAAGACGCCCTCGAAGACGCCACACGGGCATTCAGCAGGGATCCGTCCTCTGGTCAGGCCGCGTTCCTTCTGGGGCGGAGCCACCAGCTCCTGGGCTCTTTTTACGAGGCGATCGACGCCTTCGCCGCAGCGGAACGACTCTTCGCACAGGGTACTTGCAAGCCAAGCACCTCGCGGCACACACCGCCCCACAGGCACGACTGCACACGCACTTGTTCACGCACCTCTCTGCCCTGCAGGTCAGCAGAAGGCCAAAGCGAAGGAGGCATCGGCGGCAGCCCACCTCGCACTGGCGAAGAAGGTCCAGACCGAAGTGGCCGGCAGCGGACAGCAGCAGTACCTGCTGGGCAACCTTGCCTTCTCCGTCCCGAGCAGCTGGACGCCCGACGAGAGTGCGCTGACTATTTCGCTTCTTCAGTTGAGGCGCTTGTTTTGTTGACGTGTGTGTGGTGTGCGCGCGTGCGTGCGTGCGTGCGTGGGAATAGGACCCCTGATGAAGGCGTTCCTATCGTCGAACAAGGTGATGACCCCATCGGTCTTGGTTCAGCAAAAGGAAGATGTGTGGATCCACGGCATCGAGCAGCTGATGGACTACGTCAAGTCCGAGTTCCGCCCGGAGACGACGATCGCCTTCCCGGACTACCGCTTTCTCGACCTGGACGAATGCATGGTAAGTAAGAACTGTTGGTCAGTGCAACCACCACGACTGACGCTGACCCCCCCCCGGGGGGGAGGGGCGAAGGCTGGAAGTAGGGAAGACCTTGGTCTGGTGACCTCGCGGTTCAGGTTCTCGCTGGAGGGACACACCATCGACGTCAGGACCGCATGGCTAGTGCTGGGCGCCACCCTCTACACGCTCACCCTGAGCATTGACAGCCGCTTCGGCGATGCTGGTTCTGAGCTCTGGACCGCCCTGCTGGCCTCGCTGGTGGCCGACTCCCTCTTGTGAACGACTTGACGAAGCTCACATCATCATCGATGCATTATCCTTCTTCTATTAGTCTCGTAAAGAAGTTGCCCAGCTCCACAGCTCCCAGCTCACTTGCGGGCGACCTCGTAGTTGGCCATGAACCACTCCACCGTCTCCTTGATGGCTGCAAGGAATGGAAAAACAAGCAGAAGAGTGAGTGAGTGAGTGGGAGACATGCGCGGTTGCGCCTACAGGAAGTGGGAACCACGTGCCATCCTTGATGGGAGTGAACTGGAACTCGGGCAGGTAGGTCCTGAGCTTCTTGTTGCTCGCCGTCTTCTTGAACTGACCATCGGACTTGGACGTGTCGTACTATCGATGCAACAAGTTAACACGCCTGCGAGAGCGTGGACGAACACCACCGGCCGGGTGTGATTGCAGTACCTTGATCCTGTCCAGCGGGTAGCCCATGGCCTCGGCGATCATGTCGGCCACCTCCTTGATAGAGATCTCGTCGTTTTCGTCCACGGAGAGGATGATCGGGTCCACCTCGTTGTAGTCGCGCACGGCCCTGTTCACGTGCAGACATTAATTTATCGAACAACCAAAACAGTGCGAATAGCGAACGGGCTCAATAGAAAATACCGACGGTGCGAGAGACATCAAGAGCGAGAGAACGAACCAGATCATGAGGCGGGCCAGATCGAGAGCGAAGATAAATTGCCTAAGCGGCTTGCCCGTGCCCCACACCACAAAGTCGGTGTTGTTCTCTGCGACGCCACAGTGACACACACGTGTTCCATGAGTGTCAGGATTCATCATCATCGCCATCATCATCGCAATAATTGAGCCAGAGGGCAGCTGCGTACTGTTGGCCAAGTAGAGCTTGTGCATGAGGCCAGGCATCACGTGCGAATCCTGGAGGACCAAACGAAACGCAGCCATTTCGCGAGTTGACTCTCAACACGTGTGTAAGCAAAAAAAGCTTCTGGTGCGTACCTCGAGGTTGAAGTTGTCCCACTTGCCGAAGATGTTGGTGGGAACGACCGACGTGAAGTTGCAGCCGTACTCTTCGTGGTAGGCCCTGTGAGTGGAGCGCAAGGTGGTGCTCGGTGTGAGCGCGAGGCCGCCAGAGCCAGTGTAAAAATGAAAGAATGAAGGAAAGAAAGTTGTACCTGTTCTGAACGTCGATCATGCGCTTGGCGTAGGCGTAGCCCTCGTTGGAGGGGTGAGGGGGTCCGTTGTGGATCATGGTCTCGTCGATGGGGTAGGTCGTCTTGTCGGGGAAGATGCAGGTGGAGAGGCACGACACGCACTTCTCGATCTGCACGTCGCCCACCCATCACGCACGAGTGCGAGTGAGCTCTGAGAAATGAACGACACGCCACGACACGCAACACGAGGGCACGCGCGTATGCGGAC